TAGATAGATAGATAGATAGATAGATAGATAGATAGATAGATAGATAGATAGATAGATAGATAGATAGATAGATAGATAGATAGATAGTCCCATCTCTAACCTTACTTTTAACCCAAGTGAGTCAGTTTTTACAACAATTGCTGATTAAGTATTTGCATAAGTGCTGCAGATGATACAAAACAGTAATCTACTGCAGCAAAACTTTTATTTATTGTACTTCTGTACTGTGACTGGTGAAAAATAACATATACAACACTTCACTCATTACAAARAAGAACTAGACAGGTAACCAAGAGGAAAAGAACATTGTTTCCTGTTTTCAGTATACTTTTGTAGAAGCATTACAACATGACATAAGCCAGGCATGGACTCCACGGTGTTTAGGAATTTTTTTGCTGTTTTTGTGTTGAAGAAGACCTTTGTACAAATGTTGGAATGTTTGTGAGGCAAGTTTTAGAAACAACAAATTTTGGAAAAACTGAGTTTCTGAGTAGACAAGGCCTAAAATCGTTTCGAAAAAACTCAAGAAACACCATTAAAAGCGCAAGGTGCCAACTACAAATGGTTATTAGTATAAAAAGGTCARACTAGGGTTCAGACTGCTTCAGATTCAGTACAGTGTGAAATAAAACCTGAAAGTTGAGGCAACCCACACTTTCAGCAACAAGTTAAAAGCCTAAGCCTACACTGCCAACAGGCAGAGAAGTCCTTGAATTTGACGCAACATAACTCATTCAAAATTGAACGGCTCTTTTGAATAGCTTTGTGAAACATATGGCTCGTCAAGATCCGGATCCCTTCAAAGAACCATTCCTCCAATCTCTACCAATATCTCTAAATCACACGGCATGAATTTTCAGTAGAAAATGAAAATCAAATAATATCTTGTAAGCTCTATACTTCATATGACCATTCGTATGTTCCATTGGACAAATTGTTCCCAAAGAAAGCCCAAAGATTTCCATTTCTATGCAAAAAAATGTATAGTGGTTTATTTTCACTTTATCCAATATGAAGCAAATTCTGGCTCAGTGTTTTACCTGATAAGCATGAGAAAAATTAAATTTAATATTTTCTATGTGTAAAACCAAAACTCGCACAAACAATAAAAGCTTAAAACAAATCTGAACATTCTTGGAGTCCAGTGGTGAGATAGTAAATCTGATTTYATGGCTGACCTGAAGTACGAAAAATGTTTTACTAAGAAAAGTTACTAAAAAACACATCCATCAGGCAGTGGTCCATTGTGTTTATCACAGTGACAATTACTGAAGTAAACTGCAAAACTTCAAGATAAACTAAACGTCTTATCATTTCCTTTTAACTGAAAAGAAAAAACAAAGGGCCATAAAAACAATTTCTCATTTGTGAGCATGTTAGTGTAACATGGAAATGTAAAATAACAAAGCTGTATTTTTAATGTAAACTACATGCTCAAGGTCATTAAAAACAATATTTTATATTCAGACAATTCTATACAAATTAAGACAATGTTGTGAACAMTTTAAGTTGTACTTATTTTACAAAACCATCAAAAGCATAAAATAACTGTATAAAAACAGTCTTTGAAAAAGATCAAATAATTWAAAAAATCTGCATGTATTTGAAAAYCATGACAGTTTTTAGACAATCACCAGCCACTTTATTAGGTACACTTGTTCAGTTGCATGATAACACAAATAGTTAATCAGCCAATTTCATGGCAGCAATTCAGTGCCTAAGAATGCAGATGTGGTGAAGATGACCAGGCATTCAGAACGGGGAAGAAAACGCATTCAAAGATCTTTGAATGTGGTGTGGTTTTTGGGCACCAGATGGGCTGGTCTTTCGTGAACTGCTGATCTACTGGGATCTTAACTCCCAACCATCTCTATGGTTTAAAGAAAATGGTCCAAAAATGAGAAAATGTTCAGGAAGCGAAATGTGTGTTAGGCTTGCAGAGTACCAACTCTGATACCACAATACATCCAACCTTAAAGAGGATGTGCTACACAGCATCAGAAGAGCACAGTGGGTGCCACTCCTGTCAGAACAGGAAACAGGCTACAGCTCACAAAAAGTTGCCAAAAGTGGAAAATAAGACATTGGAATAATATCGCCTTGTCAGATGGGTCTGGATTCCAAGGTCCTCCACAGTCACCAGATAGGAATCCGATCAGGCACTTGTGGAATGCAGTGGAACAGGAGATTCACATGACATAAGTGCAGCTGACAAATCTGTAGCTGTGAGATGCAAACATGGATTACAATCTCTAAAAATGTCTTGTTGAAGCTATGCCACAAAGAGTTTAGGCGAATATAAAGGCAGAGGTGGTCCAGTCTGATACTCGCAAGGTGAACCTAATAAAGTGACCAGTGAGTGTAAATAATTAGGCAGTCAGTTAAAGTATTGAACCAAAGATGGTCTTTCCTGGYATTCCACACAAAATACTTTTGACAATTGTTGCAGATTAATATTAAAAATAATCATTTAGTAAACATACATTCAACAAGGGTTGCACGTCCTCCATTTATTTGGGATACATTTTGCATAAAAAGCCATCTTTGAGTGATAGCAAGTGATTGTCAGGAATTCTTTGCAGTGGTTTCCTGAAACACTGTTCAGAGCAGATACTCACAGTCTGTACTTTCATGGAGAAGAAATATTAATAGGGTCAAATATGCAAGCATTTCCAGGGTAAGTATCAAGTTTCATGGCTTTGCAAAGTCTATAGCTGTAGCTGAGTTGGACTGGTTGTTGTCCGTAAGTAGTTTTTGGACTGAATGAAAAGAGATTAAAGGACCTGATCTACCAAATGATCCATCCAAATGATCCTCCTGACTTCTCTATTTGCCGTTTATCATTTGTTTGATGTTACTGCTCGAATTTGTGACTGAGTCCATATCTTCTAGATCTTTCTCATTGAGCTGAACAACATCTGCGTCTTTGTCTTTATCGCGGCTGTTCTGGCTGTTTTGTCGGCTCTTCCTGGAGGAGTCGAAAGCAGTGCCCTCAAACAAACGAGCCATGAATGCCAGCCCCTCTCTTCTAATGTAGGACTTTCCTGCAAAGAAGTAGAGCACGGGGTTGGCACAGCTGCTGATGAAGGCAACGGCGGATGTAACAGCTCGACCTCTGCGCCATATTTTACCCAACCTGGCAAGAGAAACAATGAGTGTCAGATTAAATGGATTGTGTTATAAAACAAAAAAACAAAATAATTATAAACTCCCAATAAGGGAGAGTATAATAAGAGATTAGTGAATGAAATTCCTTTTCATTTCAGAATTTAAAAGTTGTTTAGCTAAAAAGTCTCTTTTGTCTCTGAAATGTTTTTTTTTACTTGATAAAGACTTATTTCAGCTCTTTTCCAGGAAGTGGATTATTTGACTCAGTTCGTGAGGTAGAGTCCAGAAAGTGCTAATCTAATCTGKTTTATCTGCCATTTTCTAAGGAGTAAAAACAGTTTTGTAACATGTTTACCCTACTGTCAAAGCTGGAAAAGGAACTTYATTCATACAAACTGGGCTGTACACAACTCCATCTTAACCTTTTCCTTACTGTCAACCAGTGTGAAGYGCCTAACATACCCAATCTGAAGCCGAACAGTTGACTCCCTGTTGTGAGACATTTGTTTTTGCAAACACCTTTCATAAACAATGAAATATCCTGCGCAGAGCTCATAGGAAGCCCCTCCTGCTGCTGTACATACCACAGCATGGGTTTCTTCCAGCTCTGATTTCCGCTGTTTGGCCACAAATCTGTCACAGAGCTCCACMCTTTTCAGCAGACAGATATCCTCTGTGCACAGTCTTTGTGCTCTCTCCATCAAGGTGATTTAGCCATGACAATTTTTTAAGAATGAAATTATCAGCGTTTTAAATTTTTAGTTAAACTTGTTGGTTTTTTTTAGTCAGAAAAATCTTCTATTTKTATACATGGAGAGGCAGGATTTTAAAATTGGGTTTTATCCAGAATAGGTTGCTTGTCCTTTGAAGATTCTGTTGCTACAGTATATGTGTTGTCTTTAGGATAATAAAAAGATAAGGAAACTGTTTAGATTCAAAGTTTTGAAGAGCCAAATCGATCCCATTTCATTTTYCTTCATCAATCTTACCTTCTACGTATGTTGACCTTACAGGAACTGAAAATTGTCTTATTTGATTAGGAAGGTCATTAGATGATGTTGGTGTTCCAGATACAAGAATTATAGAAATATGTGGTTTCAAGGCTTATAAGAACACTTTTTGATATGACTGGTGCTGATATTTGGTGAATGTTGTTTTATTTGTTGTTCAGTGGCAAACTTCAAATAATTGAAGGAAGGATGAGTGGAAAAATGTACAGAGACATTCTTGATAAAAATCTGCTTCCATCTACCAGGATGATGAAGATGAAACGTGGCTGGACATTTCAGCAAGACAATGAGCCCAAACACAAAGCCAAGGAAACTCTCAGTTGGTTTCAGAGAAAGAAACTAAAGCTGCTGGAATGGCCCAGCCAATCACCTGACCTGAATCCAACAGAAAATCTATGGAAAGAACTAAAGATCAGAGTTCATAGAAGAGGTCCACGAAACCTTCAAGATTTGAAGACTGTTTGTGTGGAAGAATGGGCCAAAATCACACCTGAGCAATGCATGCCACTAGTTTCTCCATACAGGAGGCATCTTGAAGCTGTCATTGCCAACAAAGGCTTTTGTACAAAGTATTAGATAAATTTCAGTAAGTGTGTTCAATACTTTTTCCCTGTGCCATTCCACAGTATTACAAGTAACTTCATTTCTGGACATTTATGGTTTGATTTCTTTGTATGTATGGATCACTTGGGTTGTTACCRACATCTGGTGAAAATTTCATGTCATTAGCACCTCTAGTAATATATTTACTGAGAAAAATGGTGACGTGTTCAAYACTTATTTTACCCGCTGTATAGTCTGYGTAACTCAACACAAAAAAATAATGTTTGGATTTTATCATTGAAATGCAAGAAAATGTGAAATTACTTACGTCTCTTTTACTGTGCCCTCTGGACATAAAGCCCATGTAACCTAGGTGCAAAATAAAACTTTTCATTATTAACAGAGAACATTTCAATAAAGTGAAAATGACAGAAAACTCAATAGACTTTACAGCCATGGTTCTCAAACTGTAGTAAAAGTACCACTGGTGGTCTTTGGAAGAAAATTTGGTCAAGTGACAAGTTAATCAACCAAAGGTGAGCTGTGTTGTGAAGCTAAAAGTTGAATTGTATAACCAAATTATAAACCTGGTTACATATACAAAGTACTTGAAACAAAAATGCAGAGRGGGAATATTTTTCAAATATTACTGGCAGCACAACAGCTCAGTTGTTAGCACTGGGTTTGATGCCCAGTTTGGACCTGTCGTCTTTCTGTGTGGAGTAAGTGTGTTTTCACTATGTCGTTTTATGCATTCTGGTTTCCTCACTCAGAGACCTCTATTGCAAAAAAGCTCAGTGATCTCAATAGATTTGCTTTTGCCTGGTTAAATTTCTTGGTTGTTTACTTGTTTACTACTCCCTTTTTCAAGTGTCTCCTGACAAACCGTCAAGCTACCTTGCATGAAGGTTTGGCGATTGTTTTTATGCAAACTTGCTTTTCCTGACACCACCACTGATCATGAGCTACAGCAGCCCACATGTAGAGGGCGATCTAGGGTGCCTGGGGTATGGACCTTGCTTTAGGGCCCAGAGGGGCAAGTGAAGGTGAATTCAGGTGTTTTGTCTTTCCTATCCACATTTTGATGTAAT